TATGACATTGAGGGCTAATGTGATATTTCGAAGATAATTACACGTGAAATATGTAAAATTCTGGCATCAGATCCAGTTTATGAAGGGAACTTATGATTCGGTTGGAAGCTATTCTCTTTCTAAGCCGATTTCATATTCACTACGTTATATAATAACTCATCTCAGTCGTGTTAGGATATCGANAACAGTTTTGTTCTTTACTGAAACAAGAAGTGTTGTGGTCACACAGAGGCGGGTTCGTGCCCATTTTCAATATTTGTATTTCGAAGTTAACCTAACGGCACACCTTTCGACCAGTAAAACTGAGTTCTGTTAATGGATTTAAGGAGTACATTTCTTTCATGGGAAAGCTTATGAGCGATTAACCGATTTACAAATCCGTGACCATAATTAATATTCGTTGTGTGAAGAGCCAGTTTTCTAAATTGCCTGTACGAATTACGCCGCTTGAGATTAGATAATGTCGAGTTGGATCATTAAAGGGCTCTTATTAACCACTTTGTTGCATAAAGAGCGGAGAAATTCTAGGCCAGATGAGTGACTATTAGCTTCTCAAGAATGTCTCTAAATCGTAGTAATTTAAACGAATACATTGTCTTACAAACATGGTAATAAATACTAGGAATCTTCTCCTTATTGCTAAAGAAACGAACATGTTTTTTCGCATCCCTAGCTAAACACACAGCAGTTTCGAAAATACTTGAAAGACTCAAATATATTCCAGCCAAACATTTTAAATATATTTATTTCATGGCCACTATATGTGACGTCATTCGATTATATTTGCATTCATGAAAGAATCGTCACCACTTTTAAGTTAAATCATAAATGTNTGGTGGTAGCAGATTAAAACGGTTTCTGTGCAAGGGCGGATTTGAGAATGAAGGGCTGGGAACGGGCACAACTAGTGGGCGTAACGCATGGAGTATCCTTGCTACTTCCTCTCCCTTCGCTCGTGTTCTGCTTACAGGTCTAAAAACCAACATAACCTCTGATCCCTCAACATATCACCATATCATCTTGTACTGAGAGTTAGATGTTATTCATATAATCACTACATTACTTAGCGGATATAGCAAGAGAGTTCTCAACTGTCTAATAAGAAATTAATTGCTAGGATTACCGTTGCTCCATACAATTTTTTTGGTAAGGTCACTCGGGGTCTCTTTTTATAATTTTCGGCTTCTGTAATTATGTAATTTTGGCCTCGTAAACTGTAATGGCTATTTTTAAGCGTGTACTCTTAGCCATGCGTACTGTTACCTCTTGATATTTTAGAGGTTATATCAAAGTATAAACTATAATTTCCTTAAATAGTGTAAGGCCGTGAAATGACTTTATAAATTATTCAAATTACTCTGCAGGTTTGCGTCTTTATGACCACTGCATTGTGGTACCGAAAAAATGTACATATATACACCTCTGCGTTTGTATAGCTAATCTTGTATGAGGGCCGGTCACGGTGGCCGAGCGGTCTAAGGCATGTTCTGTCTTCGCTCGCTTGGAAACCGGGATCGTGGGTTCGAACCTCACTCAGGGAATGGATGTTTAGTCTGTGTGTGTGCGTTTTTCTGTGTTTGTATACAGGTAGAGGCCTTGCGACGAGCTGATCACCCGCCCAAGGGGTCCTACCGAATGTGTAAGATCTAGAAAAACCGAAGTGAAGGGAGAAGTTCATGGAGGTAGGCCTAGGCCCACTGGGGCTGTAGTGCCAAGGAAAAAAAATCTTGTATGAGGAAGTTTCGTGGAATATATCGTGAGTTTGTGCAACCACTACTATAGCTACTGGTGTTCGATATTCGGGGCGGACGCCCCTGACTACTTTTCAAAATTTCCATGTCTTTATAAGCAAGAACATTGGAGTTACATGATCAGGGTCCTGAGTGTAAATGACAAGGTAATATTAAGATGGATCTTAAAGTAGAGGATGTGGAGATTTGGACTGGATTTATCTTTCTCAGGATATGGACCAGTTAGGGGCTCTTATAAACATGGTATTGAACCTTCGTTTCCACATAGAAAACAACGTTTCACACTGGCGAAATCTAACCAAGTAACATGCAATGAACGATGCTTTGTAAAATGGTAACACACTAGATCATGGAGATTAGTTCTTACTCTTCACGAGCGCGCTGTCGTCGCGCTGTTCTTGCTCATGCGTCAATTTACACAAGATGGCTCCCAAAAGAAAATTGTAGAACAACGCATAATAAAAGTTTTGTTCTTTACTGAAACAAGAAGTGTTGTGGTCACACAGAGGCGGGTTCGTGCCCATTTTCAATATTTGTATTTCGAAGTTAACCTAACGGCACACCTTTCGACCAGTAAAACTGAGTTCTGTTAATGGATTTAAGGAGTACATTTCTTTCATGGGAAAGCTTATGAGCGATTAACCGATTTACAAATCCGTGACCATAATTAATATTCGTTGTGTGAAGAGCCAGTTTTCTAAATTGCCTGTACGAATTACGCCGCTTGAGATTAGATAATGTCGAGTTGGATCATTAAAGGGCTCTTATTAACCACTTTGTTGCATAAAGAGCGGAGAAATTCTAGGCCANTAGATAAAATTACTGGGGATCATCAGTGTGGGTTTGCCTGTGGTTCTGTATGGGTGTGAAACTTGGTCTCTGACATTACAGGAAGAGCATAGACTGAGGGTATTTGAGAACAGGGTGTGGAGGAGAATATGTGGACTGAAGAGAGATGACGTGACAGGAGGTTGGAAAAAAATTGCATAATGAGGAACTTCATAACTTTTACTCTTCTCCAAGTATAATTAGAATGATCAAGTCAAGGAGGATGAGGTGGACCGGGCATGTAGCACGAATGGGGGAGACGAGGAATGCGCATAGGATATTGGTGGGAAAGCCAGAATGAAAGAGACCACAGGGACGACCAAGGCGTAGGTGAGTGAACAATATTAAAATGGATCTTAGAGAGATAGGATGGGATGGCATGGATTGGATTGATGTGGCTCAGGATAGGGACCAGTGGAGGGCTCTTGTGAACACGGTAATGAACCTTCGGGTTCCATAAAAAGCTGGGAAATTATTGAGTAGCTGCAGAATTGGCGGCTCCTCCAGAAGGGCTCAGCTCCATTAGTAATTAAGTAAGTAATAGATATAGGTTAGACAATTTGTCTAATATGCGTAGGAAATTCATGTGAACAGCAGGTTTCAGTTTGGTCACTTAGCTGCTTCTTCCGTTGAACATAAGGCTAAACGCAACGTGTCAATGAGAACTGAGATAGATGATTGGTGTACAGAATTAAGGAGTGCATGAATAAAATATTCTACTTAATTCCTTTCGCTGCACTTCATTTTTCTTTTAATCAGAAAACAGAAAGTTATCATTTTGTTAGGATTTGTGTTCTTACTTTAGCAAGATCCTGTCTTATGGCTTGGGTTAGAGCCAGTATTGATAGTTAATTAGAATCGAGGCTAATCGATTCAGGATGACCATCGCTAAATCATTTATAGTTTCATACGAATCGTGTATTGTCAACAATAAGAAATGAGAGAAGTTTTGTTTATACTGTTGAACAGTCTGTTGTTGATTAAATCTTTTAAAACAGGCTGTCAACTGTCAACTGTCAAGTGACATCACGTATAAACAGGATGAGGGTTAGTTGAAACAAGGAGTGGCGGCCTGAAGTGCTCAAGGACCGAGGTTTCTGACGTTTTGAGAGCATTGCGCTTTCTTGACGGGTCATATCAGTGGCGTGCAAGTGACGTAATGAAGGTGCCCATTGCGATACTTAAGACAAATGAATGATTAAAGGGGTACTATAGTGCGTTTAAAACATTCTTTTACAATATCGAAATGTCATTTATAATTAGTGTCGATCACAGTGGCCACGCGGTATAGGGCCTGAACCGTCATCGAACGCTGGGATCGTGGGTTCGAATCCCACTAGAGTCATGGATGTCTGTGTGTGTTTATTCTGTGTTTGTGTTGTCCTGAGTATATGTAGCCGCCTTGCGATGGGCTAATCCCCCGTCCAAGGAGTCCTACCTTTTGTGTACAAAAGGTTACAGAACTGAAGAAGGGACTAGGGTCAAACAAAGAGCTGTGTTGCCGTTTGATGAATGAATGAATGAATGAATTTATAATTAGTACATAAAGTGTTAAATGCTTCTTATCGCTACAAATTTCTTATATATTTAGTTGGCGGTATTCCATTAATATGAGAAACTTTAGAACTAATTAATGTTTCTGCGTGAAATTATGTCAATAATATTTTTATTTTTTCTGTTCTTGTCTTCACAAGCATAACATCTTCTTTCGCCTTCAGCTGGATGTTGAATGACGCTTTCGATATCAAGTTCGTATAATGTCGGGCGTTCTTTCGTCTCATGTTCTTCTGCCGTCCATGGATTAGGCCCAAGTTTGTTCCCACTTCATAGCTATCTTACGAATTGTCTATCTCTGTATCCCTGTGGTTCATAATGAGGTGTAACTTTGGAATTTCTTTTTACTGTTCAACTGGTTTAATTTTTTTACAGTAATTTATTCTTCCATTAATTAAATACATTTCACTTCCTTCGATAGATCTTATCTTTTAATATTATTTAATCTGGTACTTCCCTTAATGTATATTTAAATGATTGAATAAAAAATTCTATACTGAGGCCACTGTAAAAGTCCTATTGATGGTGGGGATAACGGCGCTAAAGGTTTCCCTCTCTCTGCCTGCTGTCTTACTCCCTTCCATCCCCTCCTGGCCTGTGTGGACCAGCCCCAAGCGCTTGTCGCTATCGAAGTTTATCACGTGATTATCACTGTCGGCTTACGTGTGGACAGAATGGTTACACAACTGAGGAGAGTATAAGGAAGCACGCTGGAGAGGGAAGCTTAACGAATCGATGGAGGTGTGGAAGTAGTCGATCCTTGGGACTTATTTCCGTCGCCTCATATAGCGTCTCTGTGCCTCCTTGAATAAAGGAATCGTGTTTACGCATTTTTCTACAATGATCAGTATTTCTGTATTGTTGCAGGTGATTGAAGGAAATTCGAACACGTATCTGGGATCGAAGCGGGAACTTGATCCTCCAGTATGGGCAAGCAGGATCCGCTTTCTACCTTATAGTTATCACCGACGCACCGTCTGCATGAGAGTGGAGCTGTATGGTTGCTACTGGAATGGTAAGTTGCTGCAGACTGAAGTGTGCCACTGTCCGCTGTACTGACACACTTCGTCCGGTTAGCATCTGAAAATGTTACTGTGCGAGTTGAATCAGTCGGTAGTGACCGGTTCAAATCTCAATCAGGGCTTTCCTCCTAGATGACTTACGGTAAATATACCACGAACACTTCATTCTTAATCCTTTCAAATTCAATACGTGATCGTCCTCTCGCTGCGACGCTGAGTTACATCTGCTGTTAGTATAGCTTCATTACTTAATATAATCTGCTGTCCATCCTTAAATGGGGGTATATACTGAAATTTGAGGACATCGGAGAATAATATTAAAGTGGATCTTTAATATACAATGCTAAGATTATCAACTGGATTTATATACGTAGTACAGGCTGTTGTGAACACAGTAATGAACCTGCGGGTTCCATAAAAGGTGAGGTAATTATGCATAACGGGTTTGTTCCAGGAAACGAGATCCCAACTGGCAGTTCACTTAAATGTAGCAAGATCTGAAATACGATGTGTAACTTTTTGAAATCCCATTCTTGACAACTTTTCTAGTAAAATGAAAAGTGGTTATAATAAAACACTTAATATAATTTCATGACGTTGTGGAGGTGTTTCAGACGCAGCTCCTTCTGTAGCGTGTGAAAGGTTTAGTGAGAAAAAAAAAGTTCGAACCTTCCAAGAAGTTGACAGTTTTATGCTGCGGCGGACGATCATTGCCCAGTAGAATTTTCTCACGTTCATTGAAGCAATCTGCCATGAATACAAGCCCAAATTTTTCTTTTATTTAGCAGAAGACGTCAAAGAAACGCTTTGGTGTCGCCTTCAGCATCTGCATTGTGCTTGGAATGTAAGTTAGTTAGATACTGATCTCTGTGGTTAGCAAGCTAAATACAAAGAGAATTTACGTGTTGCATAATTCACCTCGTGAATCATAATTTTAATCTCTTGTAATTCCGCGTGCTTACAGAAGTCGGAGCGCGGGGGTCATAACCCGTGTAATACGAATATAAAAGAAAATCCTACAACAACTTAATTCTCTTTAAATGCGCTAACAAATCCACAGACGTGATGCATGGTACCACTTTTCTACATTAGTAATTGTGCATAAGATGGAGGTTGAAATGTAGATGGAGACATCAGCCTCCTTCTAAACGTAACTACCTACCAAACCACAGGAAATCATAACCCCGAAGGCCACCGTAACAATTTAGACCATTGCAAAACAGCCGCATGAAGGATTTTTTCTGTCTTGCAGATGGAATTGTGAGCTACTCGATGCCACAAGGCGATCTCAGGGGGTCGGGTTGGGAGTTCTTCGACTCAACTTACGACGGCCATTGGGACGGAGAGCTACGGCGAGGGCTGGGCCAACTGACGGATGGCAAGGTGGGCCCCGACAACTTCAAGATGGGCTACTATGACTACGAGCGCGGTACGTCCCATAAACATAGCTAAATCACTGATTATGTGCCATAATTCGCAGATTGCTTTATTAAAGGAATTTCCGTCGACCTCCTGTCTTTTTTTTCAGACAATTCTTTAATATTAAACCCTTTGCAGCGGTCTGCTTTTTCGCTTTTCGCTTTTCACTTAGTGGAGGTGGAGTTCAACTAGGTCCACTCGGCACGGCGGCCACTGATTGGACTATTGTAGCCTGCCCCGGGTGATTATGATGATGGAGCATTTGGTGGAATGAAGATTGGCAGGGGAAACCGAAGTACTCGGATAAAACCCGCCCCAGCGCCACTTTGTCCACCACAAATTCCACTTGACGAGACTCGGGATCGACCCCGGGCCGCCACGGTGGGAAGCCAGCAACTAACCGCTTGAGCTATGGTGCGGCCAGGGGTCTGCTTACATTCCAAGTGACAATTAACCAGCATCAAATAATATTACTGTAATATCTACATCTGTAAATCCTGGTAAAGCGCCCCTGTAGTCTAGAGGTCGGAGTTCCTGGCTACAGATCCAGAGATCCCGGGTTCGATTCCCAGCGCTCCCAGTTTTTCTGAGAAGCAGTGGGTCTGGAACGCGGTCCACTCAGCCTCGTGAGGATAACTGAGGAGCTAGTTGAAGGAAATAGCGGCCCCAGTCTAGAAAACCGAGATTAACGACCTTGGGGATCCGTTGCGGTGACCACGCGACATCCTCTATCCGCAAAAGTTGGTACTGACTTAGCCGACAAACGGCGGTAGCTTGGTCGATATAGTTCGCTTGCGGACTACAGGCCACGGATTTTCAGTTTTGGTATATTTAAGATAACCTCCCAGACTTGCGGAATTTTCTTTTATTGTAACGCCCTCTGTCATCCACTTGATTCATGTTCATATTACAAGAGAGAGGTAATAGTCACGAGCATATACGACGCAACTCTTTTCTTTCATTCAAAATTTACTTCTATACTTCTGTCCTTCCATTCATCCCTCTGTCGCTTTCGCTTTAAAAATTCAGATTGTAAGGCGGTTTTGTTTGCAGTAGGACCCTTTGACTCTCTGAGATATGTCCTAGCATGAAACCACATCAATAATTCCTGTAGACAACGAATTAAATTGTTAGTACTTCACGCTGAACCTACGCATTACTTGTTAAACATGTCATTGGTTAAGTAAAGCTTCATCTTTGTTTGACATTTTTACCACAATCATTGATATATTCCTCCTGATGATTCCATTAGCCGTGCCACATTTGCATTCTGTTCTCTTTGTCACTTGAAGTCCTGACCTTATGAAATTAAACCTCCTTTATTTCAGGGCAAGGGTGGGTTGGCTGGAGAAACGATACTAGAAATGGACAACCTATCGAGATTAAATTCGAGTTTGATAAAGTTCGAGAGTTTACGTCAGTCCACATCTTCTGCAACAACCAATTCACCAGAGATGTACAGGTGAGTACTTACTGGTGTTGGTCGCATTGCTAAACCTTCTGATGAATGTTGATGTTCCACTGATACTGTCTGTGTTTGCATTCTACCTGCGTCACTTCCGTGAGCATGAAACCTCTGCTTTAGAGGGTGAAGGGTTACGCTCAGCAGTGGCCAGAGGAGTGACAGTGGTCCAGTTTCTTCGGTCATCATAGTTTGGCAGTCTATGACATTGATGGTTCAGTCAGTGTAATGACATCCTACAAGCTCTAGCTCAGTTCCCAGCGGGGGCAAGAATTTTTCTCATAACCACAATGTACAGACCAATGGAGGGCTCCACTCAACGCCGTGTCCAATGACTATGGGGGGAAATTTCCTGGGAATAACGTGACTAATTAATTAATTCTTTTTTAATTCAGTTAGTGGGGGGTGGAGTCCAACTGAGTCCACTCGGCACGGAGGCTACCGATTGGCCTATTGTAGCCTGCTTCGGGTGATTATGATGATGATAGAGAATTTGGTGGAATGAAGAGTGGCCGGGGAAACCGAAATACTCGGAGAAAACCCGCCCCAGCGCCGCTTTGTCCACCACAAATCCCACTTTACCAGACCCGGGATCGAACCCGGGCCGCCGCGGTGGGAAGCCAGCGACTAACCGCTTGATCTATGGCGCGGCCTAATGTCTAACGCAACTAAGTAATCAGTCTGACCACTCCCATTCATATAGTTTTGAAGTTAAGAATACATGGAGCTTTAACCTCCATCCCGCATACCCTTTGTGTTTAAGCACATGAATAGCTTCTGTTATCATTTGATCGATCAATATATGAACTAGCATTGTAATTAATAAAGCAAGAGTGTGCAGCGAGAAGTAGAAAATAAGGGGTTAACAACAGTTCATTGGCCTCAATGTGAAATATGATTAGACACACTTGAATTTCCCCTCGTTTGCCGTCTTTGGAGTTTTGAAAAGAATAATCAATGTAACTGTACACTATGACAGATTTAAAGTACTCATATCCTGCGATTACTCTTCCATGATTAAAAATATAGTTGGTTCAGCATTAAATGCCCCAGTGAGCAATTTCATTGCAAATGAAGGGGCATCCTGCAGCATAGAATGTTCATTCAGTTTCTGTATGTTGCACATGAACTCATTTCGTTTCTAATATGAGAGGGGCTTAGTACAACAGTCACCGTGGGACAGATAAAACACGCTCCCCTGTTGGACAATAGTTGTTCAGTCCCCCCCCCCCCCCACTCCTTGTCTTCAATAAAATTGGAGATGAGTGTTTGAGGGGTGAGCAATTAATTTTTCTCTAAGAGTTACTCACTCTCAATGGAGGGAACCACAGGTGCAGACCACCTGATGTCCCCTAGTCTATGAAATGAATCACGCTTCTGAATTAATGTTAGTTTAAATCATAATTCAATTTATTCATATTCAGAATTCAGTTACATCTTATAAACTTATAATGACATAAGACTCATAAGCATTTCATGCAACACACAACAAGAATTTCAAGAATTTACATTATACTCGATATTTCTGTACTGAAGACACCTGGTTTGAATCTCGGTTATTATGGGCTATGTCAACAGAAATGTTCTTGATTTCCCTCATTTCATCCAGTAGCTTACTGCCTCCTTCCTAAGCAATATTTCTTCTTGTGTCATTTGATGCCGTAACATCTGCATTAACACAAAGTAACTCATGATTGCCTGTTTGTCCAGTTACTATGAAACTGATTTGATTCATTTTAATGATCTAAAGCTCCTTTTGTTCGAACGTTTATGGCACCTCTTAATGAACCAATGATCAATTGTGTGTCTGTATGTAAACAACTCCATTT